TTTCAGAGGCTGTCAACATGATGGAGGGACATATGAGCAGAGTTGATGAGATGGAACAGAATCAGTGAAATTGAAGACAAAATTGTCACCACTGATCTGCTAGAGCAAAAAGCAGACTCAAAAAAGAAGGAAAAAGAAGAAAACCTAAGAATAATGTGGGGCCAGCTGGAACTCCGCCGCCAGCTGGGCTGGGAAGAGACCCGGGAAGAGCAACAGTCTGCCAGCCACCGCAGAACTCCAGAGGAGTGAAGACTACCTGCCACTGTGTGACCCTACCTGCAGCCCGTGCCTGCATGACCCCCAACACACAGGGTGCTGCTGCATAAACCCCCAGCAGCACCCAAGCCCCGCCCCCTACCTCTTGGTGATAGTGTCCAAGCCCTGTGTTCTTTCAGCCCCCTAATCCCTTGCTTTCCTCCCCTTCACCTGCCCCTCTTGCAGCTCCACAACCACGCACCTCAGCCACCACCACAGCCCTGTGACCTCAGGGCACCACCACAGATCCAGCCATCACCCGGAGCTATCAGCCGAGCTGTTGTGGAACTAACCTGGCAGGAGAAAGGCCATGGCCTTCTCAATCACCTGCTATGCATCGGAGAGTTGAACAATGAATAGGAAGAGAGAAGAATTGATGTTTTTGAATTGTGATGTTGGAGAAGAGTATTGAATATCCCACAGACAGCCAAGAGAACAAACATATGTCTTAGAGAAGGTGCAGCTGGATTGCTCCTTGGTGGCAAATATGGCAAAGCTTCATCTTTCATACTTTGGGCATAGAGCATAGGTTATTCATTGCAGAGGGACACCATGCTTGGGAAGATGGGGGAGGGGTCAGCAAAGGAGAGGAAGACACTCAATGAGACGGATTGAAATGGTGACGTCAGCAATGGACTTAGGTGTTTCAGAGATGGTGAGGATGGCACAGGATAGGGCAGAGTTCAAACTGGCTGTTCATTCATACAATCTCTTGAGTCTTACTCAACTTGATGGCAACTCAACTCGACTTGACAGCAACAAGTGGCTATTTTATGCCACTGGAGTCAGACAAACACGGCTTTGCAATCTTGGCTTCATCACCTTTCTAAACTTGTGTGACTCTGGGCTAGTTACTTTACCTTTTAGGACTGATTTCCTCATATATAAAATGGGAGTGATAATTTCTAGATCATAGGGTTAATGTGAAAATAAAATAGGCTGTTCGGTATAATGCCTGTTGTTAGGTGCTGTTGAGTAGACACTGACTCGTAGTATCTCTACATATAACAAACTGAAACCTTGTCTAATCCCATATCATCCTCACAATCTTGGCTGTGTTTAAGACCACTCAACAGTCACTGTGCCAATCCATCTCACTGAAGGTCTTCCTCTATTTTGCACACCTTTCCAAACAGCATGTCTCCTTCCAAGACAGCCTCTGTTGACAGCATGCCTAAAATATGTGAGACAAAGTTTCACCATCTTTGTCTCCAAGACAGATTTATATATTCTTTTGGCATTTCATGGTATAGTCATATTCTGTCAACACCACAATTCAAAGGCATCAATTCTTCTTTTCAGCACATCTTAGTCATTAAACTGACATCCTATCATTTCACCATTATTATTAATCACAAGTTTAATCCTACTATTTTTTTTAATTTTAGCAATTCCCACTGCCAACTACAAACTCCAAAACCAATGAAGAAATGAAACCAAAGATCCAAGAAGCCTATATAAATCTAAAACTAGATAAATACAGGTCCATCCCAAGATAAATGATAATAAAATTTCTGTAAACCAAAGGACAAGAAAATCTAAAAAGCAGCCGGAGATAAAAGATGGGTTATACAAAGTGCAATGGTTAGATAATATCAGACTCCCCAACAGAAACAATGAAAGTCAAAAGACAATGGCATGATACATTCCATGATATTTATGATGAGCAGAGAGAGAGAAAATTTCCAATATTGTATCCAATGCTCACTCAAACTATGCTCCAAAGTTAAGAGTAAATATAGACATTTTCAGCCACACCCACCCACCCACACACACATCAGAGGAACTTTTTTTTTTTGTAGGCAGAGTTGCACTAAAGAAAAATACTAAAGAATGTTGCTTTTCAAGTAGAAGAAAAATTACACCAAACATAGTTGATCAGAGATGCAGGAAAAAGAGTACTAGATGGATAAATATAATAAAATAATATTAACAATAACAAACTAATAAATACTTTTATTTTTTGTTTTAAATATAAGATGAGGCTTAGAAAATAGTGACAATGTCACACAAGTCCAGAGCGCAGATACATGAAGCTAGAGTGCGCCAAACTCACTGCGTTGTCAAGGCTGCTGATGTTTGGTGCTATGGAGTCAGCTACGACTCATCGGATCTGAACCCTGTCCTGTGCCATCCTAATATCTCTGACATACTTGAGCCCATTGCTACAGTCACTGCATCACTTTGTGTTACTGAGCATCTTCCTCTCTCAGGCTGATGCTCCATCTTTCCAAGTGTGATATTCCCTCCAAGGATTGGCCTTTCCTAACAACATGCCAAGAGAATGTGGTTAATGTCATTAATAACAAAGTCTAGTCAACCCTTTATTGCGTATTGTCTTTTTTACATGGGTCAGTTATTTACTACATAAATAAAATTAAGATTTGAGTCATCTGTAAGTTTTTCTGGTACAGAACGTTTTTCCAAATCATAGTTCTATTAATGTGCATTTCATTTTTGCACCAAGTCTATTTATTTCTAGATTATATTTTACAGATATATATATTTCAAGAATAGTTGATAATTCTCTCCTGTTTTACAATAACAAATCTTACTCTGTGTCATTTTAGCTCCTGGTGTTATTTTGTTTTAATAAATTCTGGCCAACTTAGAAAAATATTTATATACGTAGTTTGAATGAGCTTCCAGATTGATTTATGTTGGGAAGCAGGAGTGGCATTCACTTCCTCTACTACATGCTACTAGAAACTCTACAAACTCTCTAAACTCTCTAAATGAACCAGAATGATGGTAGTAATAGAGCAGATTTATGCAAAGAAATGATGTTAGTCATAGAACAGAGTTTAGGTCTTTTGTGCAAAATTTACTCTCAGTCGTATTCGACTTGATGACACTTAACCACTGCTAAGTGAAACTAGTGCTGTTATATCTGGAGGAACACTCTTCCACCTTGAACATCACTCTTTGTCAATGTGCAGTATGAAGTAACTTGGGTTGCTGTGATGCTGAACCTTGTACCATTAGGGTATCAAATACCAGAATACCCAATATCAAATACCCAATGTCAAATACCCAGTGTGGGTAGTATTTGGTGGAGCTTCTAGTTCTAAAACAGGTTTGGAGGCAGGAAGTGGCATCCACTTCCTAAATCACTTGCCTCTGGAAACACTATGAACTTGCAGAAACGACGACAGTTATGGAAAGGTATTAGGCCTTTTGTTCATAGAGTTGCTATGAGTTGTGCTCGACTTGAGGGCAATCAACAACAAGAGTTTAATTTACACTATATTGTGTTCATGTATATTGTGGGGCTTTCCCCCCTTTCAATCATCCTACTAATAACTTTGCAGTCACTATTAACATTATCCAGAAAGGTGTGACTTTCCAGATAAGTTTCTTGAGCTGCGCCTCACAGGTTTTAGTGTCTGGTTTTAGCTTTGGGTAATTATTCTATTAGTCATAATAATTAAAACTCAGAGGAAACACTAGACCATATGCCTTTAATATTCAAGTTTTCAATGACAATTTCCCCCTCACATAGGACTATCTGTTATCAAGGTGTGACCATAAAATATAGTCTTAGTTTTCTCAATGATGACAGGCTTGTCTAAGCATAGACATTACATATTGAGAGAAGAGACATTCTTCCCAGTAACCACAGAATCTCTAAAGATATTTTCAGTTTAAGTTTCTAGACCTTACAACCCATAGACATATTTTCTATCTCCTCAGTTTGTTATATTGCTAAAAGAGGTCACTCACCATTGGTTTGGAAGAGTAGAACTTTCTAGAATGATGAAAAATCTTCTATCTGCCCTCCTCAATACACATGGAACTACGGAGCACCTTGAATGTGACTAGTGCAATTGAGGAAATGAATTTTGAATCTTATTTACTTTCATTTTAAATAGTACATGTGACTACTAGGTACTGGAATTGATAACATACTTCTAGAGATTATCAACTGTCAGTATTTTCCCATAATGATGAGGAAGCATCAAAATAATATGGCAATACCCTACACATTGGGATCTTGAGGTAAAGAAATCTCATCTCAAACATACACACACACACACACACACACACACACACACAGAGGCAATTTCTAGTATAGCGGTAATGGTCACATGCGGGAGCAGTGGTATCAGATGATCCTTGGTTCAAGCTCTGACACAAGTACTTTTTCTGAGTGAACTTGAAGAACTTCCTTTGCTTCAGTTTTTTTCAGTTGTAAAGTAAGGTTAATACAGAAAGGGCCACATAGAAGCCATATCCATTAATAACAGAAAGAACCACACAAAGGTCGTGAGAATGAGTGGAGAGGGCCACGGCCGTCTGCCTGTACCTTGCTCTTTTCTCGCTGTGTCCTGGAGATCATGTTATTATCAGCGTAACTCTTCTTCAGCTCCTCCTTGAGTTTCTTGTTTTCTTGTTCCATGTCTTGGATTTGCTGAAAAAGATTAACAACAGGCAATTGAACTTTCCTAATGAGAAGCAGAAACCAGGGTGAAGGAGGTGAATTCTCAGAACCCTTGTTACCTTTGAAGTAGAATCTTGTCTGGGATTGTTGTGTCATTGTGTGTTGTTGGGTACCATTGAGTCAATTCCAATTCACAGTGACACCTCTGACAGAGTATAACATCCCCACTGGGATGTATCTTTATGGAACCCTGTTAAGTGTCTATTCTAGAACTTTTTGGAAATGTCTTTTCCCTATGGAGCCACTGGGTGGGGTTCAAACTGGCAACCTTCTGATTAACAGCTGAATGTTTAACCTGTGTGTCACTAAGGCTCCTTTGTTTAGTAGTAGCTTGTTTGAGCCTCTACCTTGGGGAAATTTTACATAAAGATGTGCAGTAGGCTTTCTCAATGTAAAGTAGGCTTTTTCCAATGAATTACTGAAAGTATTGGATAAAGGAAGAGAATTAATTTCCTTTGAAAATTAGCATAGATCCTGGACTAAACACAAGCAATCAATCAACTCATTGGAATCTGACCCTCAGGGTCCATTTTTAAAAATAAGTCTAAATACGGGCAATGTCTTTGGAAGACACACAGGAACAGTTTAGAACAGAACAAAGAACTGATTATTCTGCCGTCCCTCCACATTAAAACAAAGAACAGGCGAGTTCTGAGGCAGAAGAAAGCATGTCTCTTTCCTCAGCCCATGCCTGGGCAGTGTGTTCCCCAATGCAGGGGAAAGGGTGTGCACTGCATGTACGAAGACTGAGGCTGTTATGGATTGAATCGTGTCTCCCCAGATTTGTGTCAACTAGGACATGAATCTTAATGTTGCTGTTGTTAGGTGCCGTTGAGTTGTAGACAACTCACAGTGACCCTAGGAATGAAAGACCTGAACACTTGTATAACTTTTATTGTTTCTCTACATTCATTGCATTTTTGGAGGCAAGCTCTTTCAGAAGCGGACGCATTATGAAATTATTCTCCATTTTGTGTTCTGATGTAATTATCCTTGTTGTTGTGTGCCATCGAGTTGGAACCAAATTATAGCTGACCCTCTAGCAGATTTTCAGAGACAGAAAATTGCATGGGAAGAGACTCTCCATCTTTCCCCCATGAAGCAGTTGGTGGATTCAAACCACATGCCTTGGGATTGCAATGCAGCTTCTTACCATTTGAAGTAATTATCCTATGTGTCTAGATCCTAATCTCTCTGATGTGAATGAGGCAGGATTAGAGGCAGTCACCTTAACCAGGTGGGATACAATCTACAAGACTAGGTTATATTTTGAGTCAATCTCTTTAGAGATGTAAAAGATATTACACAAGCAAGCAGAGACCATAGGCATCTCTGACCACCAACAAAGAATTGCTGAGAGTGGAATATACACTTTGGTTGCTGGGCTGATAAAAAGGACTTTGCCCAGCGCTGACAGAAAGTCTTCCCTTAGTGCTGGCACCTCGAATTCTAACTTCTAGCCTCATAAACTGTGAGAAAGTGTAGTTCTGTATGTTAAAGCCATTCACTTGTGCTATTTCTTGTTTCAGCAGCACAGGCAAACTAAGATGAGGGAATATATGTTGCAATTCCAATGGTCATATTTTCACTGTTTTAAATTTTTTCCACTGTTTAATTTTACAGTTGTCTTCCCTATTAGACAAATACTACCTCTTTTTTATTAATGATATTTGTTGTGTTTAAGAACTGTATAAAACTGAAGCACTAAAAAAACTACATTAATGGACTTACATAAGAATAATACGGCAATAACAGAGTAAGTGGAGTGAGTACAGTGTTCCTGTTTGGGGTTGTGCAAGCACGTAAAACAGGCAGAGGTGAGGGGATGTACACGTGGTGAAGGTAATTAAAGACACTGAGAACTGTACTCTTAAAATGGGTTAAAATGGTAAATTTTGTTATATATTTATTTGACCACAATAAAAAAGTGTGGTATGTTTGTGTTTTTTTTTTTAAGTAAAAAAGAAAAATAGTGAGGCAAGTAATGACAATCAACTTGTGATAAAGGAACCTAAAAGCATGGATTAACAGGTTTAGGGCTCTGCACCAGAACAAACTTTGAACAGCATGTGACGTTTAGTGGTCAGGTGACCAGCCTCAGCTCTACCCCAAAGAAACCCAATAAGGAAGTCAGAGCCAATTGTGGAGAATTCGGGAGGGCCTGTCTTCTCTGTGTGTGTGGGCTTGCAAGCCTCCTCCTTGAGGCTACAAACAGTCAATCAAAGAAACATCTAGCATTGTAAGTTAATATAACAGTAAGGCACACTTTTTTTTTGGTCTATTAGTAGCTTTTTAAAAATAATAAAAATAAGGCGCACCCATGTTTATCACGGCTTTGTTCACAATAGCAAGGAGTTGGAAACAACCCAAGTGCCCATCAACAAATGAATGGATAGAGAAGCTGTGGTATATTCACACAACGGAATACTACGCTTCATTGAAAAACAAGGAACTCATGCAATATTATTCAAAATGGGTGACCCTGGAGGACATGATGCTGAGCGAAGTATCTCAGTCACAAAAGGACAAATACTGTATAGTGTCACTGTTGTAAAACAGGACCGACATGGGGTTTGGGAGGAGACTGAGAAAGATGCGATAAATAATGCATACTGCATCGAAACAGATGAGAGAGAAAACTGTTTAAAAGCGATATATGATAGGGTATTATGGCTAGCATTAAGGTTGCATAGTGGAGTGTACTCGGGGTGGGTGATGGGGGGATTGTATACCAATGAAGGAATTTTTCTTTTACTTTTCAAGGACAGGAGCGAACTGAGGGGGCAGGGCAGGGAGAAAAGTACAACAGTGAATGAATGGAAAGCCATGATCTCTGTAAATGTTCATTAAAGTTAATAAAAAAAAATTTTTTTAAAAAAGATGTAGGGCTACCCAAACAGCCCGTCCAGAGATCAGTGCTTTCTAGTGGTTGGAGCCCCCCAGGATGACACCAAAGGCTGAATTCCAGCGTTCCCGTGGAGACCAAAGATTGAGGCAGTTCAACTCACAGTTTTGCAGAGTTTTAATTCTTTTTCTTGGGCTTCCCTGTGCTCCTTCTGGGATTCTTCCTTTTTTAACTCATTTCTCAACTCTGAGCACTGTAGAGAAACACAGCAAAGAGGTAAAAGTTAGCTGCATGAAGTGTCTGAGGTTTTCAAGTTCCCATGTTTGCTCCAGAGAGCCTACAGTTTAATCCAATTATACACAACCACTGTAAAAAAAACATGTGGTCGTTCCTCAAAAAACTAATAACAGAATTACTGTATCACCCCAGCAATTTCACTCTGAGGTATACTGTTAGAGTGTTGTTGACAGGTGCCATCAAGTTGACTCGAAGTAACTAAGTGAACAGTGAATGTGAACCCTGCCCTATCCAGTGCCATCCTCATAATCTCTGATACACTCGAGCCCGTTGTTACAGTCACTGTATCAATCCATCTCACTGAGAGACTCTATCTTTCGCTGACCACATTATCTTTCCAAGTATGATGTCCCTTTCCAAGGAATGGCCCCTCCTATCAACATGCCCAAAGTCTGTGAGATGCAGTTTCATCATCCTTGACTCAAAAGATCACCTGGGCTGCACTTCCTTCAAAAGACATCTGTTTGTTCTTTTGGCAGTCCGTATACTTTTCTCCAATACCACAGAAAGCAATTTTTCTTCTTCTGTCACCCTTATCATTGTCCAACTTTCAGATGCAAAGAAATTAATCGAAAAGACCATAGCTTGAGTCAGATACATCCTAGTCTTTAAGTGAATGTCACTGTTCCTTAACTTCTCAGAGAGTTATCTGACAGCAGATTTTCTCAATGCCACATGTTTGGGGTTTTTTTTTTTAGTTCTTGACTGCTGCTACCAAGGGTGTTGATTGTGGATCAAAGTAAGATGAAATTATTAAAAATTTTGGTTTATATCCTGATATATTGAAATAATCCAATTTGGAAAGAAAAGACCACTTGTATCTAATTGGCACAAGCCAGTCCTAGATCATCCCACTCATGAATTCTGAGGAATAAACCATCTGAATTCTTCCTCAAAGCAAAGCAATCTGAGCCACAGGAAAATTTAGCCTTGTTGAGCCTGGGTGCTCAGGGTGGAGGAATTGGAGTTCTTATCTCTATGATCAGCAGAGAGTGGTTTTCACAGATAGATGCTGATGCCTTCAGTATATATCTGAGAAATCACTGGATGAACTTGGAAGGTTCTTGTTTTTGTGAGATGGAGAAGAGATTGAAGTTGTTAACAATTACAGCTTGCTCGGCTCCACAATCAGCAATCTTAACACCAGCAGTCAGGAAAGAAAAAGATTAACTGAACTAGGGAAAATCTGCTGTCAGGGACCTCTCCAGAGTGCTGAAAAGCAATGATGTCAGTCTGAAGACTAAGATGTGCCTAATCTAGGCCATTGTCTTCACAATTACTTGTTATCCTTCAGAGAGCTGGACAATGAATGACTAAAGATGAAAGAAGAATCTATGTCTTCAAGTTGTGGTGCTGGAGAAGAGTCTTGAACATACATACAATGAACCTCTAAGAAAACAAATAGATCTATCTTGGAGAGGGTGAAATCAAGTTTCTCCTTGGAGGCTAGGATTTTGAAGATCCAATTCACATACTTCAGGCATGTGGCCAGGAGGGACTGATCCTTGGAGAATGGCATCATGCTCAGAAGGGTGGAAGGATAGTGCAGGAGAGGAAGATCCAGGATGAGAAGGAATGATACAGTAAGTGGGGCAATGGGGGTTGGTGTGTCGGAATTAGAGAGACCGGCTCAGGACAGCACAGGGTTCAGAGGTGCTATACATAGGGTCACTATGGGTGACCGGCAACTCAACAGTACATAACAAAGACAACAACTGAATCAGTGCCAAAACATAGTGATAGAATGAAACACTGTCTGGTCCTTTGCCATTGCTATTTGAACTCACTGTTGGAGCCACTGTGTCAATCTATATCCTTGTGGTGCTTCTCTTAACTTTTATTGACTATGCAAAGACATTTGTGGATTGCAAATTACGGTTAATACTGAGAAGACCAAGAATTCCCAGAACACTTAACTGTGCTCATTCTAAACCTGCACACAGACCAAGAAGCAGTGGTCCAAACAGAACAAGGAAACACTGGAAGGTTTAAAATCCGGAAAGGTATATGTCAAGGCTGTACACTTATCCATACTTCCTCAATCTATATGCTGAGTGAAAAATTTAAGATGCTGGATCATATAAAGAAGAATGTGTCTTCAGCATTGGAGGAAGTTTAACCTACAACCTGCACTTTGTAGATGACACACTCTTGCTTACAGAAACTGAAGAAGATTTGAATCACTTGATGCAGGAGATCAAAGATTACAGTCTTCAATAATGATTATATTTCAACATAAAGAAAAACCCAAAATCCTCACCACTGACCCAATAGGCAAAATCATGATAGTTGGTGAAAAGATTGATGATGTTAATGATATAGTTTCACTTGGATCTAAAGGAACAGCAGTTAAGAAATCAAAAGACATGTTGCATTGGAAAAAATCTGCTGTCAAGGACCTCTCCAAAGTTCTAAAAAGAAAGGACATCAGTTTAAAGACTAAGATTCACTTGATCCAAATCATGGTATTTTCAATTACTTTCTTTGTATATGAAAGCTGGCCCCTGACACTTTTTAATTGTGATGTTTGAGAAGAGAAGTGGGTATCCCCATGGACTGGTAAAAGAACAAACTTGTCTTGAAGAAAATGTAACCAAGGTGCTTCTTAGAGGCAAGGATAGTTCAACTTCTCATATTTTGGGCATGCTGTCAAGAGGGGCCAGTTCTTATAAAAAGACATCATGCTGGGAAAGGTGGAGCATGACAGAAACAGAGGAAGACCCCCAGTGAGACAGGCTGACACAGAGACCGTAACAATGGGCTGGAGTATATTGGAGATTATGAGGACGGTACAAGACAGGGCAAGGTTCAGATCTGTGGCTCACAGGGTCGTTACAAGTCAGAGGTGACTCGACGGTACCTAACAACAACAACAACAACAACAACTACCACGAACGATGTTCTGCTCTAGCCTGTTACCCTCTGATAACACATCCTGCAGCCTTCAATATGGATTGAGGCTCAATGTCAAGAAGACAAAGATTCTCACCACTGGACCAATTGGCAGCATCAGGATGGACGGTGAAGAGATTGAGATTGTTCACAACTTTAATCTGCTTGGCTCCACAGTCAACACTCTTGGAACCAGCAGTCAGAAAATTAAAAGATGTATTGCGATGGGAAAGTCTGCTGTTAGGGACCTCTCCAAAGTACTGAAGAGCAATGGTGTCTCTCTGGAGACTAAGGTGTGTCTGATACAGGCCATGGTCTTTGCAATCAATCACTTGTTATGCATCAGAGAGTTGGACAATGACTAGGAAGGATAGAAGGAGAATTGACGCCTTTGAGCTGCGGTGCTGGAGAAGAGTATTGAATGTACTCTGGACTGCCAAGAAAACAAACAGATTCATCCTGGAGAGGGTTAAACCAGGCTGCTCTTAGAGGCAAGGATTCTGGGGCTTCGTCTGACATACTTTGGACATGTTGTAAGGAAGGACAGATCCTTGGAGGGACATCATGCTTGGGAGGGTGGAGGGACAACGCAGGAGGGGAAGGCCCTCTATGAGGTGGATTGATTCAGTGACTGGGGTAATGGGGATGGGGTGTGTCGGAGACAGTGCGATTGGCATAGGACAGAGCAGAGTTTAGGGCTGTTGTACATAGGGTCGCTATGAGTTGCAAGCAACTTGACGGCACATAACAACAACAACAACAAGAAGGATGTGAGTAGGAGCATTCTGGCTGTCTTTTCAAGACAAATTTGTTTATTCCAGCACTGCATTCTGTACTTCAAATTCTTCACCTATAGGAAAAGTGCTTTTGGGAGGTTATTTCTCAAAGACACCCTTATTTTAAGGGGGAAAGTTTTTTCTGGAGGGCAATTGGCAACAGGCATTGAGCATAAAGTTGTGCATTCTTTTTGACTGAGAAGTTCTGCTCTAGGAATGTAAACTAAGGACAGTGACTAGGGAGACAGACAAATCACACAAACGCTAAGAGACCTCATCCTGTAAGATCAAGATTCTAAAGTCAGCACTGAAGGCAAAAAGTATAGTCAAAATTCCATTTCAAAATCTCCTAAAACCTCCTTCAGGTTCATTTTACATGGAGGACTTCTTACACTCACTGACATCTAAGGGAAGAAGTGAAAGTCTGTATGTTTACATCTTGGCATGCAAGCTGCTTTTTAAGATCCAATGGAAAGTCTAGAGAGCTCTGGCGGCTTAACATTACGGAGATGTGCTGCCAACCCAAAGGCTTGTAGTTCAAATCCACTAGCTGCTCCATGGAAGAAAGATGGGTACTCTCCAGTGCCATTTACTGCCTTTGAAAACCCATTAGCGGGTCAGCTATGAGTTGGTTCCGACTTAACAATACACAACAAAAAAAAATGGAAACTCTAGTGATGACTGACCAGCAGGTGAGAAAGGGGTTCTGCTTACCCAGTGACAGTCTACTCTCTTTAATTGTAAGTCTTGCAATGGCCATTCACGCTAACGTTCTTTTTGCTGTTGTTAGATACCATCGAATTGAGCATGACTCACAGCAACCTTATGAACAAAACACCTGAACCCTGTTCTATCCTGCAAAAACACCTGAACCCTGTTCTCTCCCGTGCCAACCTCACATTTCCTGACACACAAGAGCCCACGGTAGCAGTGACCATGTCAATCCACCTGGTTGAGGGTCTTTCTCTCCTTCACTGACCCTCCATATCACGTCCTTCTCTAAGGAATAGCCTCTCCTAGTGACACGCCCGATGTATGTGAGGCGAAGCCTCATCATTCTTGCCTCCAAAGAGCACCTGGCTGCACCCTCTCCAAGACATATCTATTCTCTTGGCTGTCCATGGGATGTTCAGTGCTCTTCTCCAACACCACAGCTCAAAGGTGTTAGTTCTTTTTCTGTCATCCTTATTCTTTGTCATGCTAATACTGAATAACAGTTGCTGAGATTAAACAAACTGGTTGTTGTTATGTGCTGTCGAATTGTTGTGATTCATAGGACCCTATGTACAACAGCCCTAAACCCTGATTTATCCTGTGCCAATCTTATTGTTTCTGACACAGCTATCCCCATTCCCCAGTCACTGAGTCAATCCACCTCGTCTAGGGTCTTCCTCTCTTGTGCTGTCCCTCCCCATTCCCAAGCTTGATGTCCCTCTCCAAGAACTGGTCCTGCCTTGCAACATATCCAAAGTATGAAGCTTCAGAATTCTTGCCTCCAAGGAACAGCCTGGTTTTACCCTCTCCAGGTCAAACCTGCTCTCCTTGGAGTCCAAGGTATATTCAATACTCGTCTCCAGTAACACAACTCAAGGGCATCAATTCTCCTACTAACATCCCTAGATGTCCAGCTCTCTGATGCACAGCAAGTAACCGCAAAGACCATGACCTGGATCAGGCACACTTAGTCTCCAGAATGACATCGTTGCTCTTCAGTTCTCTGGAGAGGTTTCTGACAGCATACTTTCAAAATGCAATTCATCTTTTTATTTCCTGGCTTCTGGCACCAAGAGTGCTGACTATGGAGCCAAGAAAACTGAAGCTGTTTATAATCTCAATATCTTCATCATCTATCATGATGCTGCCAATCGGCCCAGTGGTGAGAATCTTTGCTGAGTCTGAGTCTGTTGTGAGTCTGTCAGGGTTGGTCCCAAACCTATAGGGATGTCATGAGCAATGGAAGGTCTCTGTTGGGTCCTACCTCCTTTTCACAATTGAGGTACAAACCAGAATCTTCCTTGTGAAAGGTCAGACGTCTACCATTGAACCATCATTGCCACAGGATTCGAACCTGTATCTTTTTTCTGAGCAACTTACACAGACTGAAATGCTAGAGAGAAAAGTTGGCTAGTTGGCTTTATGTATTTCCAGGCCTCATTACATGCTGGCCCCACCTGCCTCCTTCTGGACACTGGTCTCTCTGCACAAATGGTGTGAGAGGAGGAAGGAAAATTTACAACCAGTGACCAGGATTGAAGAGTGTATCAGCCACTCCAGTTTATTGACTTTCATCAGCTGGAAGCTCCAACAGGGTGATAGAGGTATTGGCTACTCACCTTGGAATTTAGGACTTCCAGCTGGTGATCCTTTTCTTTGTTTTCACTTTTAAGTTGAATCACCTCCTGTTTTAGTTGGTGGACTTGCTCATTCCTTGCTAACACGTCCTTTTGCAAAGATGACACCATCTCTGTAGAAAAAGACTCACACAGGTCAGAGGGCAATGTGGACACTTGTCACCACCACCTGCAGGCCAATAGTGCTGAGCTCCTTCCAACGTGGGCCACACGTAGTGCTTGGCCCTGGCCGGAGAAGGCTGTCCTCGAGGACCCCAGAAGCCGCCATGGGGATGAGACTCCCATCTGCTGGGCATCATGGGTTGAAGCTCATAGTGAGAATAAGAACAAGTCAGTAATAGGAAGCATGTGCTGACCTTGATGTCTCTGGTCTAGATATATCTCTAGGTAGCCTTCCTCGTTATCCATAGCTGTTTTTCAAAGCAGGACCAAAATTTATTCCAAGGATCTTGAACAAAATAAGGCTGATCATATCAGACAAAATGTCCATAAACTTTCGGAGACACTAATTGCGACTCGAGGGGCCAGGTTTAGCTCTGCTTGCTCTTTTAGGTCCTTGGTGCCCCAGCTCCTCAAAGGCAAACCCGCCGGAGCCAGGAATTCCTCAAAACACTCAACCAATTGTCTTTCCTCGGTTTTCTAAAGCAGCCTCCAAAATGACAGCCTTCTCTCCTAACCAGCTCATCTTTTTTATTATTTCGCCATTCACGTAAAATGTGTTATTTGCTGCCTATAAAACCTCTTCTCTCCTTTTAAGTGGATAATATTTGCACTAAATTAGGTGAAAGGCTCCCTGACCACAGATTAACCCACCCCCTTCATTCTACTCCAGCTCACGATGACTCATCTGGTTTCTGAGGCTGTTTTGGGTTTTTTTTTAAAATCATGATTTGAGTTCAAGTTTATAAAGCAAATTGGTTTTCCATGCAACCATTCCTAGACTGTTTTAGACCATTAATTACAACAAAAAGATTCATCTTGGAAAGGGTTAAACCAGGTGGCTCCTTGGAGGCAAGGATTCTGAGGCTCCATCTGACATACTTTGGACATGTTGTGAGGAGCGACCGGTCCTTGGAGAAGGACATCATGCTTGGGAGGGTGGAGGGACGGCGCAGGAGAGGAAG